TTACCATATTTCAGGTGCTGTAAAAACACAGTATTTCCTGGCTATGGGTGATATACTGTATCTGATTTCTACACATTTAAAAGTAAAACATTTTTTGATAAATAAATAAATGTATATCTTTTTAACTTTTATCTAAATATTTGATGCTGTCTTGCATCTATCTTAATAAATTACATTTATTTTTAAGAGATTCTATCAAAGGTAATTCTAAAAGTTTTGGAGTATACCTGTAATGACTTTTAACTTGAAGTGGAGTGACAGATCTTGGGGTTTTTCCACACCTACAACGGATAATTTACTAACCTGTTTGTGTATTACACGTTTATTACATGACAATGCCTGGAAAGAGTGGGTAAGTATTGCTTTAACAATTATTTTATTTTTATTTGATAAAGAAACTCTGAATTTGAACTTTTAACTTACTTACTAATTACTTAAACTCTGCCAGGTCACCGACGTCCTTGTCCGACATTTTTTTCTTTCTGAGGCCAAAGCATAGTTTATAATGAGATGATATGATATTGAAATATAAGACATAAGGCAACCACTAGTATCAAAAATGTCATGTTTACTTGTCGGTAGATGCTACATAACTAAATATGCCACAAAAAATTATGCCACATTTTAATGATGAACAAACATGCATGGCCATTGTCAAAGGTCCTTTGACTTCTTACCATAAAATAACGAATGGGTTCTGTGGCTATCCGCCACTCTCATCTTTACTGATATCACCATTTCCCGCTAATTCAATGCAGTTTACAGCAGTTATTTAAATGCTTTTGCATGCAGAATTAATATATATATCTTTCTATAAAACCAAGGAATCTCTGTCTGTGCGCACCAGAGCCAATCACTGCAGAGCCCACCCCCATGACACACCTTAAAGGAGCATTTCACCCGTGGAAACATTAATATTTATTGAAAGTGGGTTATATATGTAGTCCAAATGTAACATACATTTCGAATTTGGTGCCTATTTGACCGATAAAAAAGACAGAAAGTGACTTTAGGGCGTATTTGTATTAAAGACAACAACTCCCACAATGCACAGCTCCGCAAGCCGCTCCCACTAACACTATCAAGGACTACAACAACGTGAACGTAAACCATTTATTTACAGAAATATATCAACAACAACAAAAATAAATATGTTAACAATGACAGTTATAGTTCCTCCTGAGCGTCCTCAACTCCTCGGTGCCGCAGTACTGGCCATCTGGAGCTGGATATTTCTGTCGGATAGCCTGCACCACATCAGCGGGTAAAACGACACGATGGCCTCGACCCAATCTCTCGCCTTGCAGGACCCATTCCAGAAAGGCTGTTAGCGATATTGTCTACAAGACATTGAGCACACAGTTAGCGATGCATGGTCTTTGTGTTTAGCGTGCCACAGTAGTTAGCAATGCAACTGCAAGCTGTGCAGTAAAGAAGCTAACGTTAGTTCAGTTGGCTGACGTTATGTATTAATAACTTTGTGATACTGCTTGAACAAATTGTGTACATACATGCCACGTTGTTATAAGACAGAAAATAGAAACACTCACTTTACAGTCAGACGCCCTTAAAAATGTCCTGTAGCCCAAAAATGTCAAATGTTATAATACAATAATTGCATTTCAGAGAATGCATTATTCAGGCGCCCGGTTAGCTCAGTCGGTAGAGCTTGCGACCCATATACGAATCTGACCTGCGGCCCTTTGCTGTGTGTCATCCCCTCTCTCTCTACCTACCTTCCTGTCTATCTTCGGCTGTCTCTATCAAATAAAGGCATGAAAAGGCCAAAAAAATTACTTAAAAAAAAAAAGAGAATGTATTATTCAGTCATTAGCAAATATGTGTATTGTATGACCATTGATTATGTTAAGTGAACATATTCACATTTATGTTGGTTAGTCTAAATCTGAATCACATGTTTCAATGATTATTTTATTTATTTTCCCTCTTCCCTTGTGTTTTTTTGTGACATACAGACACTATGTTTTCTCTAGATTTGGACGGGTACGTGTTAAGCAATTCCGTTGTCAAAAAAAGATCTTGAGCTTCTTCAAAACAATATGCTTTCTAATAATAGTGTTTTCTTAATAAATCATTGTTTGTTCTTTGTCCTAAAGTCCAGCTGGTGTGTCCGTTGCTGATGAATAAACCTGTTCAGCTAAAGGCTTCTGTGGAGATGTATGCCTTGATATAGCAATCCCTAATGTACACATAAACAGGGTGAGACTGAAACAGGTGTACCTCAAATATCAAAAGGTAATGTTCTGTATTTTACATATTTGTAATGGAACACATTTGTAATTTATTTAGTTAATTTGTATTCATGACTGTGTTGACATTTCTTTTCTTTTTTCAACCACCTGTCTTTGCAGTTTATTGAATTATAATTTTAATTGTTAATAATAATATTTATTATGTAGTGGTACGAGGCACCACTGCCATGTGGAACATGGTCTTCTGCTTCACCGTGCCCTCTCTGGCTTATTAGCCAATCATTGTTCATGTCGTGGGGATAAAAGTAGACCGTGTCCCTCCTCCTGAGGGGTATTGCACAAAACCAAGATAAGGGATTAAGCCGGGATATGTTGGTTATCCTGGCTTAATTTAGCCTCAAGTCAGTTGCATGAAAGCAGGTTAAACTTATCCCGGCCAAGTTACTATGGTGATTTATTAATCCTAGTGATTCACCTGTATTTCCACCGTCAATCCTGTGAGGAATTAATGTGTTTTACAGCATGTCCATGGTCTTTCTAAGTATGTTGCATCGTTTTAATTATCCTGCATTAAAATATTACATATATTGTCATTTCTTATTTCATTTAAATCTGTTGGCTGTTTGTAATTGCAACAGTCTTTTTATATTGATTCAAGTGGTAGTATTATTACTCAGGCCAAGTGTTGTATTGCTATGCTAATGAAGACTGCTTGTCAAAATGCATAAATATGTGTTTTATTGCAGTAATTGAGATTACAAAACACAGCTGATGAAGTTGCAAAGGTGTTTTCAATGAAATCTGTGACGAGGACAATATAGTATATATAGGTCTAACTCCCATTCATCTGTTCCCTCTTCATAATGGCTTGCCCTTTCTTGGAGGATGTACTGGATGAGGAAGCCCTAATCCTCATACGAGCATTTAGTCATGAAAGAGTCTTCTGGGACAGGTCAGACCCATTGGCCTTTGGAGATGACTATCTCATTGAGAGATACAGATTCTCAGGTGATGGACTAAGATATTTATGTAGGCTGCTGGGTCCAAAAATACAGCACCAGACAGCACGAAGCCATGCTCTGACTGTACCACAAATCTGTGTTACATTGAGATGGTTTGCAAGTGGGAGCTTCCTTTATTCTGTTGGGGATGCAGAGAACCTCAATAAAGGAACCATTTGCCGCACAATAAGACGTGTTTGTCTGGCGCTGAAGTCATTCAGCAACATATTCATCACCTTCCCTGGCCACAGAAGACTCCTCTACATCAAGGAGGAGTTTTACAAGATTGCAGGTAAGCTCAATTTAAACCTGCAACCATTAGTTTCTAATTTGATCAGTCACAGTTGGATACTCACTATTTTTTGTTACAGCTTTCCCTAACATCATTGGTGCAGTGTATTGCACACACATCAGGATCAAACGCCCCTCAGGAGAACATGAGGGAGATTAAGTTAACAGGAAATCCTTCCACAGCATCAATGTTCAGGTAAGAGTGATTTGTGGTTACTATGACCTGCATCAATTAATTCTGTGCATTAAATGACCTTAATAGGTTACAACTTAACATTTCAGGTGATATGTCATGCTGACTGCCTTGTCAGCAATTTAGAGGCAAAGTGGCCTGGCTCAGTGCATGACTCCAGAGTCTTTCGGGCTAGTCCAATTTACGAGAGACTTTCACAAGGTAAGCCACACATTTTATTTGTGCTGTAAGCACCTTGGACATCATGAGTGTTTACCTCTGCCGTGTAGTTTTCTAAATGATATCTTGCATTATCAGGCGAATTCTCTGGTGTGCTGCTGGGAGACAAAGGCTACGCCTGCGAGTCATTCCTCTTGACTCCCCTTGCGGACCCCCAAACCCCACCACAGCAGGCCTACAACCACGCACACAATAAGACAAGGGCTCGAATCGAGATGACCTTCAGCCTTCTGAAATCTCGGTTTCAGTGCCTGCACCACCTGAGAGTTTCCCCGGACAGGGCCTGTGATGTCATTGCTGCATGCGCAGTACTGCATAACATTGCAGGCCTGAAAAAGGAGAGGCCCCCCGAGTGGCTGTTCATGTTGACTGGGAAAATGCTCCCATCTTCCCAGACAACATTAATGGCAGACTTGTCAGGGAGCAATATATTGCAAATTTCTTCTCTTAATTTTTGGATTTAGTTAATAAAAGATCTTAAATGTTATTTTTTGCTTTGTTGTTTGGCATTGGTGGTTCTTTTAAATTCTACTTCACATTCATGAAAAAGGGAGGACACCACAATGTTTTCTAGTTGAATTTTTATTTGGCAGCCCTCATTTGCCTTGGTTGCTTGGATCCTGGAATAGAGAGAACAAAAGCAACAAAGATTAAAACACTGTACGGCAGTTATGGTTACTGTGTGCACTGAAATACTCACTTCTCTTTCTAGTTTCTGGAATTCCAGGTCCAGTTTCCTGAGTGTCCGACGTTTAATTTCAAGATATAGCTCCATTTCTTGGAGCTTTCTCTTCTTCAGTTTTATTTTAACATCTGCCAGCTCTATCTGTCTCTCCAGGTGCTTCGCATAAAGCCTTCTGACAGTTTGTGAAGTCTGTAAAAGAAATGTCAAATAAGCAAAGCAGGATTTGTGCATAATATAGATTTACTTTGGCCAATACTCACAATGTTACCAGGCTGCTTAGGAGACTGTGCATCATCTGGGTCCTGTTACACATATTTTCTATTAGCACCACATCACAGACTTCATATCCTTTATGGACAAGCAGGATATTTCCATAAAATTTACATACCTCAAGCCTTCTGGAGTCCAGTGACACAGTCTCCTCATCTGCAGAAGTGCATTCTGCAGCTGCACATGTGCCTTCCCCCTGCCATATACATACATACATACATTTGAGAGAACTTGAATTAAGATTTCACAGGACATACCAAGCCTGTGATTTCAACACAATGTACTAACCGGATCATCTTCTGGTGGCTCCAAAAGTGTTAGTGTGTTCCCAGACACTGCAAGGAAATCTAAAGTCAGACAGTATTATATATTTATTTGATTGTGGTCTGTGTGCTGTATATGTACATGTGTACCTTGTATGAAGCGGACAGTTTCTGTGGCTGGGACAGAGTCCGTTACAGTCCCTCCCTGGATTCCCTCCATCACTGGCCTCCCTTTATTTAAATGGAGTGCCAGCTCCTCCGCTTGGGGTCATATCCTGGCTTGGTGGGCCGCCCCCTGTGCCAGTTCTATGGTCTTTTTTTAACTGCTACAATCATACAGACATTCAACATGTGAGCAGACACCTAATCTATTCACCTCATTTATTCACTGTTATCTACTTTAAAGTCACTTACCAGCCTGCAAAATGTTCTTGTATTTAACTTTAACTTGCTGCCAGGTCCTTTTATGGCCAGACAAGTTTGTTCTTTATGAAAGATAGAAAGATAAAATAGATAAAAACGTAACATGACAAAAATAGATTAAATGACACACATTGTGGATAACTGTTTGCACTTAATCATACTCTACATTTTCTGAGTAACATGCACCTCTACTTGCCACATTTAAAGCAAAGTGTACAACAGTTGATTAGTGGACTTAAAGTAACTCCTTTAGTCCTTTAATTGTAGCCTAATTATGACAGTTCCAGTGGAGCACCGTTTATTAATTGTACAGTTTTGGACTACTTAAGCATTAAGCCGGTCCGCTATTGTCTGTCAGGCTTTCTCTCTTTCTTTAATTATGGCACTGGTATTGCCTTTTTTTCTTATGGTATCTTTCACCTCTTCATAGAACTCCATCAGGAGCTGTTGTTCAGCGGGCGTGGAATACGAAGCACGTGTTTTATCCATGTTCCCATCGGTGTTTCTGTGAGCGATCGCGAGGTCTATTTAAGTATGCCGTGAACCCGCACTTATCCCAACTATCTACACCTGGCTTAACATAGCCGCACCTTTTAATCCTGGCTCGGCAAATGTGCAACCAATTAAGCCAGGATGCGCCGAGCAGGCTAAGTCAAGCCGCGCTTGCTCAATTATCCTGGATTTCTTTATCCTACTTTTGTGCAATACCCCACGGATCTCTCGCTTCTTTCGGTCCGCCTACTCCCGGACCGTTGTGTGCGCCGCACACGTAGGCACACCTTAGCGTGCTGTTGGTGTACATTCGTCAGCGTTTAACTTAACTGAAACCGTAACTCCTTTTAATAGATCCGATGTCTCCATTGCGGTCGAGGCAATATTTTATTTGGGGTTGTCTACTGCCGGAGCATAGGTGAGTCATGGTGAGCTTCTGTTGTTAATTGCTGTTAGCCAGGTGTTGAGCCCCCTTTCCGCTCCTCTCCCTCTAATGGTCTGCTGCTCGCATGATACGTGGTGGCTGTCTCACCTGCTACGCCGACCCTCTTCACCCCTCTCTTCCTTTTTTGGACGGGACGCAAATTAACCGGACTGGGGACCGGAGTTTATGCTTCATTGCTACTGCTGCTTCGTTGCTATTGCTTCGCTGACGCTGCTGCTACTTCGGCTGTCACTACTACTTCGTTGCTACTGTTGCTTCGTTGGCTTGGTTCGAAGTCCTGTCAGCTGTCTCTGGTCGGTTTTCTTCATGCTGCTGACCCTGTTTCCCGCTGCTGCTGTGCGTGTGTGTATGGTTGCTGCTCCGGTAGGCTGTTGCGAGTTCCGCTGGGACTCTTAGCCACTCGTCTGGACTGTGTGTGTGTTTTAAGGGTAATCTGCCAATGTGTGGTGTAAATGTTTATTTATTTTCTCAGTAGCGGTATAATTTCTTTTTGAGTAACTTTTTAATAGTTTGGTTGCTTATTGTTTTGTTTAGGTAATTTTGTTTATTTTAGGAGTTTACTGTAATTATTTAATTTGTACTTGGGATGGGAACTTCTCAATTTGAGCCTTCCTTTATTTGAGTTCAAAGTGGGTTAATGATGGTTAACTGTTGAGTTGATATCTCTGGCCAGAGACTCTTTAATTTTCTTTTTTGGTTTGATTGATTTCTGATTAATATAAATCAATACTCTTCAGTTCCTTGATTATTCATTAGTTTGTTTATGTCAAGAGATATTGTTTGTTTTAACTGTGAGCCCTCTTAACTGTGCCTCTCATCTTCTCCTAGAGCTGAAGGCCGACAGTGGCGGTGGTGGTTCCCCTTGGTGGTGGTGGTGATCCCTTGTGTGTGCGTGAGCCTTGTTCAAGATTTTCTTTGTGTACACGTCACGTTTTTGCTGTGTGAGTGGGGTGTTCTCCTTTTTTTGGACATCACTTTCCCCTGCCGACCCCTCCTCCAGCCGGTAAGCCTCAGCCGGTACCCCTTCCCTTCCCTAGTTGGGCTCCAGTCTCCGATTATTCGTTTGTGCCAAACTTTGTGTTCATTTACACAATGAAATTGTGAAAGTGATCATTGAACTCTGTCTCCTGCTCTCCCTGAGTGAACGAACCTGAGTGTCCTTTTGTAAGAGGTGATAATTGACCTTTAGTACGGGTCCTTGGGCCCTAACCCAAGGTGGCGTTGTCGGTAACAAATAAACTAGAAAAGATCGTCTGATAACTTAGTAATCATCCCACCCTCGTTTCACCTCAATTATAATTATCATTGTTATAATTATAACTATTATCATAATATTATTATTGTCAGTATTGGCATCTGTAATGTCAACCTGAAGTCAGCTAAGCATGATTTAATGTGTGGTTACGTCTTTAGACGTTTGAAGAGTGTGCTTTACTTAAGATATTATTAATCTCTTGTCTTGCAATTTGCTGAACAAGGGTCTAACAGAAAAGACCCCACCTGATGGCGGCAGCACTTGAGTCCTCCTCCGTCATTTGACAGCAGCACTTTGGGTCCTCTCCCTCTTCTGGTGGAAAGTAGCACTTTGAGTCCTCTTCCATTTGACAGCAGCAACACTCCTCCTCCTCTTCCTTCTCCTCTTCTTCCTCCACTGGACAGTAGCACATTCAGTCCTGCTCTTCCTCCTCCTCCTCCTCCTAAAGTTGTCAGCAGCACTTTGGGTTCTCCCCCTCTTCCGGTTGACAAAAGCACTTTCAGTCATTCTCCTCCTCTAGAGGAGGGCAGCACTTTGAGTCCTTGTCCAACTTGAGATGAACATGGCACCTTCAGTCGTCCTTCTCCTCCTCCCGAGGACCAAAGCACATTCAGTCAATCAGACAATTCAGACAATCACACACCCTCTTCAGGTAATGCAGAAGATTCGGATACTTTATTTTTTATCAAGAAACTGCCACAGCAGCCATGCTTTTTTTTCATTTCTGCAGAGGACTGGGCATATCTTTGCAAGAGACAACACAAGCATCAGTTCAAGACATCTCAGTGGACAAATGTCATGTCAAAAGGGATTTGCATAGTTCATCCCTATTGCAGTTTTGCATTGAAATGCCACAGTGTCAAACAGATTACGTCAACAAGAGACACCCCACTCTTCACCTGTTTGGGGTACTGTATGTTTGGTGACTGTCCTGTATGTGTGGAGGTGAAGTTGGACAGTGAATCTTCATGATTTGAAAGCAATGGTGACCTTTCAGGGAGACTGTGTCAGACACGGCCGTGACGAGTTGAAAAGGAGGCCTGTCTGTGGTAAACAAAGGGAAGTCACTGCAAAAACATTGACTTCAAAACTCCCCTGTTCTCTGTACCTGGAAAACCTTAGTCAACTAGATGAAACTGTGGAGGACTCCGGGTGCAGGGATGAAGTACCAACAATGGGTGTCCTGAAGAAAATTTCTTGGAATGCAAGGAAGAAATAACGCAGAGACAAGAATGAAATTATTAGCCTCCAGAAGATCATCGAAGAGGAGCTTCAGGAAGAGGGGGGTGTAATCCAAAAGGTGCTCCAGCACCCAAAAGGAGTGATGCTGTGGTCTCTAGAGACCATTCAGCTTTTTGCTGAAAGGACTAAGGAGGACATAGTTTATGTTGATGCAACAGGGAACATCATTAAAAAGGCAGAGGGGGAAAGTGCACCATTTTATATTTATGAAATAGTGGTCAGACATCCTTTGAAGGGTGGGTCACATTTGTCACATGCGACCACACAACTTCCTCTGTATCATTTTTCGTGGGGTCATTCATGACGGATTGCATCAGATGCCATGGAAGGCATATCAAGAAAAGGTGTGTGATGTACATATGTGATGGATCTCTGGTCCTCATGGAGTCCATATCACAGAACTTTTGTGGAATGAGTCTTCGAGAACTTCTGTCCATGTACTTTGACATTGTCACTGGACAGAAAGAGGCCTACCACATACCTATTCTACACCGATGCCTCAGCCACATCATGAAAAAGGCATTCACTCAAAGCATGGTAAGAGGAAGCAGTGTGACAGAAATGGTTGGAGAGACTGGACTTGGGGAAATAATGTGTCTATCCATTTGTCTCGTAAATCCCCCGCCCGAGTTCTAAAGTGTAAATCTCCCAGCTATCTCTCGACATTTCACCGAGACACACCCCCTTTTGGTCGTAATATCAACCGTCCCACTCGAGGCTCCTCAGAGTACACCGAGCTGAACGAAGAGGAACGTACGACCTGCAAAACAAAGATGGCTGTGCCCATATTTCATGGTAAGTTGAGATGTATTTTCTTTGTATTTGTACTACGTTTGTTGTTTTAATGTCGATTTTAAATGCTCTTACACACTTGTTTACATTGCTGCTTTACTCCGGCCACTGAGTGCGTGTAATACAATGTAAAATTTTGTTTTCGGGCTAGTTTGCTAAATAGGCTAATGTAGCTAACAATAACACTAGCCTGCCACTGCCCCTGGTGGCCCCTGGTGGCTCGAGAAAGAATATAACAAGACATCTGCTGCACTGGTGGCATCCATGTTCTTCCCGACTCGTCGTGTAGCAAATGCCCAAAGAGAAACTTGAACACTATCAGTGGTACACGCACAGACGTAATTTGAGGGGGGGGACACAGGGGACATGTCCCCTGCACTTCTTTAAAAAGGCCGTTTTGGTCCCCTGCAGTTTGTACTGTCCAAAAACAATGTTACGCTAGTAAACAGAGACACGTCAAGCACTAGGACCAAGCGGAAAACGGCTGCTCAAGCTGAAGCCTGCTTAGTTTAGACCCGCCCACAAGCTCCTCGATTGGCTCTGCTGTTTCTTGTGTGATTGGCCGTC